GCCAGGGGGCTTTTTCAGGTGAAACCCCTTCTGGCCAAGGATGTTACCAATTCTTTTCTCAGCCTCGAGAGCCTGGGCTTGGCCCACTGTGTGTTGGCTTTGCTGAACTGCTGCCTGGCCAGAATCAGATACCTCATTGCAGAGGATAGATGGATATTAAATAGATGGATATTAAATCCCCCACCCACAGTGAACAAGGCATCCATGGCTATTAAGGTGCTCCATGTCCTCCAGAAACGAGGCAGCACACCACATGGAACTGTTGACAAACCAGTATCAGCCCAGCAGCAACTCGAATGCACATAGCAATGAATACCAACACAAGCTAACAATGCTAATTTACACAGAAAATATTTGGTTCTTTCCTGTTGGTGACCTCAGTGTCCTCATTAAGCAGGCAAAACACTCAGGGCTAGATGTTGCTCTGACGGCCACACAACAAGATTTATAGGAGCAGGAGGAGTTACCATCAAGCTTGTTGTGCAGGAGCAGCTCCACAGACCTGCCCTTGAGCAAGGAAGGGAACAGCTCTGCACAGCCTGCCTGGAGGGGGAAGGCTGGGAGAACCCATCTTGGATCCTGGGGTGGGGGTGAGAGAAAACAGAAAGCTTTTCTAGGGCAGTTCTCTCTAGTCAACCCATTTCCGAGTCACTCGTCTAATTACACTTGTGAGACCAGATCTGAATATGTACCAGAGGCAAGGTTTATCTGCTCTGAGGGCAAAAAGCCCCCAGTGCCCAGAGATGCTCCTCCATTTCCTCAGCACACAGACTTTGGCCTTCAGTTTTGTAAAATTAGTCGTCTTGGAGAACAACAGTGCTCCTGACGTTATAGTCTGGCTGGCTTTATTTTAAAGACATATGATATACATATAGAATTGTCATGGCAACTGCTAATTATGGTAATTGCTGCACATGCTGATTCTAAATACAAGAGGGTACAACCGTCCTGTTATACCAAGGTCAACCGACCACTTTTTTTTGGAACAGATAACTCCAAGACAGAAGGAACCCTGTGTCCTCCACACAAAGGAGGAGAACATGGCACAGCTGCTCTGTGTTCATCCCCACTCACTCCCAGCCCTCTACACCCAGGGGTGGCACCTGGAGAACACCACCCACCACCCCAGCTCCAGCCAAGATTCCCCCAGGGACCAGCCTCAGCACTGTCCACTGCTGCTTGTGTGGCTTCAGGCAGTTCCTTTTCTAACATCTCTTGGGGAATTATGACTTATTCCCCACCCTGCCCCACTTCTTTCAGCCTGTGCAAGCTGCACAGAAGGGAGCAGGGGACACTTCCTCCAACAGCCCCTTTTTGCCACAGCGGTCAGCAGACCTCACGTGCAACCAAGCCACAGACACCAGCAGCAATTCACTGCATCTGGGATTTCCCTTCTCCTGCCTTTGGGAAGAGCTCTGTAGCCTCATTCCCAGGGGAGAAGCAGCAGTTTGATGTGATGCTGCTTCAGGAGACTTCCAGGTAAGGTGAGAACCAGAAGGAAGAGCAGCAAAGTAGAAGAGGCTTCTTGAGTCACCACATGGGATTTAGTCAGGGAGAACTTTAAATCACCTCGTAGAGACAGATGTGCTCCAGGTCAGAAACATGAGTGCAGCAAACTCCAGCTTGGGAAGCACCTCCTGGAGAGCACAGGCAGTCCAGGCCACGCTTCCAAGAGGCTGAAGCATCACACAAGGGAAGAACCCCCAGTCAAATTACCTGCAAGGTCTCTGCATCCGGTGCTGCCTGCTCCTCCAGGGCAACATCAAAAAACAGCTTACTGATGATGTGTCTTTTGCTGACCTAGACACAGGAGACAGAAGAGGTTGATGGGCACAAATATGGAAACCACAGATATGGAAGACGGATGGAGGGGGAGAAGGTACCATCTTATGACAAGGTCATGAAAGGCAAATGAGATTATGTGCTTGATGCCATTAGGGCCGATGCTCTGCTTTGGCTCATCAGCACAGCAGCAGACCCCTCACTCAGTTTTTTGGGAGTGCAGCTCCAGCCAAGCTCCTGAGCCTCAGCAGAAAGATTCAGACATCTCTGACTCGAGCGCAGTCTGTTCTCTGGCAGCTCAGGCCCAAGCAGCTGACGCTGAGCTAACATGATGCCAAATCCTAAGACAGAAGTACGTGCTGCTTTCTGCAGGCAGAAGGTGCTGTAATTGAATTTGATAGCTCTCCACACCTCCCCCATGCAGTTACAGCTTTGTGTTTTAAGTATTATATACAGTCATGACACCAGCTAATTGCATGGTTACTGCCACATAAGATGTTATTTCGCGATAACTCCATGGTAACCCAGAGATGTAAGAGGCAGAGAAGAACAGAGGGAATCAACAAGTCAGGGAAGGAACAAGGGCCAAGACCTTGAGAGGAAGAAAGAAGCACGAACACAGAGTAAGCCCAAGCTGCAGCTGGATAAAAATTTACATCTGAGAGCGAGGAAACATCTCCTGCAGCCGCTCCACGCCAAGACCTACTGGCAGCACGAAGGCTGGTGACACAAGTGACTTCAAAGAAGTTCAGGTCCCAATTAAGCCACTGGAAACCCAAGCCTCAGCTTCCCATCTCAGAAGCAGAGCACATCCTTCCTTCCCTCCCTCCCCAGCCTTTGCTCTTCTCAAAGGAGGGCCAAATGCTGCAAAGCCAGGACATGTTATAAGGCCCACATACAGCAGAACAGGCTCCTCACCTGAGAGCAAGGAACTGGCCACTTCAGAAACACAAGTCAGGTGTCCCCATCATCCCCTTGCAGCCCTTTCTGTCATCCTGCCAATACTTACCCAGCCTAAATAAAAGCTGTGAAAACCCAGAGCCCCTTCCAGGTGGAGCTGCAGTGATGTGGCAGGGCACCCTCAGTCCACTCCAATCAGAAGGGCTATGGAGGGGAGTTCATCCTCTCAGCCTTTGGGGAGTCCCAAGTGACAGAAAATCCCTCTGTCTCCTACCTCAGGCATCACCCCACAGCCCCTCGGTGCCATTGCAGGGCACCATGCCACAGACACAGAGAGGTGTGTATGGTGATGGCTTTACCTGGATCCTGCACTGCGGGCACGTCCGGCTCGGTGCGGTGTCAAACCACTGGATGAGGCTGAGAAAGGAAAAGGTAACAGGCAGTAAATCCTTAAAATCCAGGAGTGCTGCTCCCAGGGGCCAACCCCAGGTCCCCAGGAGGCAGCAGGATGTGGCTCCTCGTTGCACACCAAAGCAGAACCACAAGCCTGCAGAACCACAAGCCTTCAGCCCAGCGGCACGGCCAACGGGAACGCCGCGTTCCACACGGGCACCTCCAAAACAATCCCGGGCTGAATTTAGCATGTGAGCTTATCTTTACCGGGGCAGAGCTTTCACAGAGCTCAGATCTCTCTGGGAGACAGGCTTTGAACAACCTCAGCTTCGCAGGAGTGAGCGGATCTGCACAAGGCGCAGCACAAGAGCCGCTCTATATCAGGATGTGACAGCCGAGATCCAGCTCGGGCAGCTCCAGGGGGTGCCACTGAACACGGATCTGCGGAGCGGGCAGCTCCAGGGGGTGCCACTGAACACGGATCTGCGGAGAGAGCGGGACCGGGCCGCTCTCTGCTCCGAGATGATGGATGCAAACCTGCTGCGCTCCCCAGCAGAGCCACTAATGCATTTTGCAACCGAGCCATCACGTCACGGTGGAAAGGTTTATTTTGGGAGCAGGGTAACAGCCTGAAGCTGGCAGGTTACCTCTGGAAGCTCTCCCTCCTCCGCTGGCTGCTGGAGGAGAGCGAGCCCAAGAAGCCCAGCCGAAAAAGGTGACAATCACCCCCGTGGTGCCACTCCGAGTTTGTCAGCCAGGAAAGCAAGTGCCCACCCTGTCCCCCCACACAAAGTTTATTTCCTCAGAAGAATCGTTTCCTTCCAACACAGACATTTCCAGCACGGTTCCAGCAGTAGCATGGTATTGCCAGGGAGGCTTCACCACAATCCAACACGGCTGGCACCGGCCTCCGGAGAGCAGGGAGCCCGCCGGCAGCGGAGCGACACAATCACAGAAAAGGCCTCCGAAATCTTCGAGCCCAACCCGTGACCCAACACCACCCTGTCAGCCAGACCAGGGCACCGAGTGCCACCTCCAGTCTTTCCTGAAACACCGCCCGGGACGGTGTCCCCACCACCTCCCTAGGCAGCCCGTTCCAGTGTCTAACGAGCACATCCCGGGCTGCTGCAGCCGCTCCGAGCGCCTCTCAGAGCCGGAGCAGGGGGTCACGGCTGACACCCAACGGGAGCAGCCGGCCCGCCCTGCGCCCCCCCACCCCACCCGTCCTGTCCCGTCCCTCACCAGGCATGGTGGAAGGTGTGCCCGCACGGCACGGCCGCCACGTCCCGCTCGTTGTCGAAGAAGTCGGAGCAGATGGTGCAGTGGGCACGGATGGGCATGGCGCGAACGGCGGGGGGGGAGGGGGAGGGGCACCGGGACGGGGCGTCGGGAAGGGTTCGGAGAGGGTGTGTGGAGAGGGTGGGGTGGCTCGAAGTGGGTCCCGGGGAGCTGCCGGGGGTCCCGGGGTGGCGGTGCCGGTCCCGGTACCAGAGCGGCCGCGCGGCACCGCGCGGTTTAAACGCCGGCGCGCTCCGCCGCTTCCGGCCCGGCCCGGAAGTGACCTCACGGGGCCCGCGCAGAGAGGAACAGAGGAGGCGCGCCCGGAGGGCGTGGCCGTACCAAGGGGCGTGGTTTGGTGAGGGGGCGTGTCCTGTGCGGGGGGCGTGGCCGCGCCCCAGCGCGGGCGCCCCCGGGTCCCTTTGCCCGCCGGTCCCGCGAACCCCGGACACCCCGGAGCCGAGCGGGGGCACCGGCGCCGCGAAGCCCCTTCCCGGGGACCAACTCCCGCAGGGCCCCGCTGCCCGCAGCGCCCGGGCAGTGCTGCCGCTCCCAGCCTGCCGCGTCCCGCTCAACCCCATGCCGCCGGCACGCCCGGCAGACCCCCGGCCCCACAGAGAGACAGGGCAGGCGGCGCTGGTGCTGTCTCAGTTTGTCCTCAGCGGGGTCTTTATTTGCCAGAGATACAGCGGGGGGGGGGCGCGGGGCGGCGGCGGCAGCCGCGGGCAGAGCCGGCCCTGCAGGCATGCAGCTGCGGGGGGGGAAGCGGGGACCGGGGAGGAGGCGCGGGGGGGGGGGCACCGGGGGTCCGCCAGGCA